GGAGACGTACATATATCGACAGGATTTCGACTGATTACAAATATAAAGTATACAAATGTCGTATAGTAGTATACAAATGCAAAATGAGCCTGCCATGGAAGTTGTGAGCAGTCAAAGTTGGGGGATGTAAGGCGTTACATAGGAACCGTGCTAGCGTCCGGACATTCAGTCGCCATGGAGTAGTGGTAGTGCTCTCAAAATTATCACTCCAACGGGAAGAGAACTCGTGAACTCCCGGTTCGAGAGTGAGAGCACTACCACTTTTACACAGTGCCTCTGAAGCCCGGAAGCTGGCACAGTTCATATGTAACGCTTTACTTCCAGCCAACTTTGACTGCTCACAACTTCCTTGGCAGGTTCATTTTGCAGTTTTAGTTTCCATATTTGTAATCAGCGTTTGAAGCTCTATCGATATATCTGGGTCTCACTCAAAGTTCCATGGGAAGTTGAATGCCTTCCTTGGTGAGAGAAAGGGAGCTGTGTGTTGAAAACCAATAAATTAAGTTATCGTCTCTTCCCCTAGCCTGGAGGAAGGATTGGGTACGGCCCCGTGTGATAATCAAGTAATGTTGCGGTACCAAGAAAGTTTCCTCGTTTTGCCCTATGGGGACTAAGCGCTAAGAACTTATTTGTTGTACTCCATATTTCATATGTATTGGGCTAGCCAGGTAGCATTTATTATAAAGTGTAAGAAAGGCCATATGCAGTTCTTAGCTTCAGATAGAGTTGGATTTTAGAATCTGCAAAATCGTGAGTGGCTACTGTTAATTTGAACTTAGGCATCGTTTGAGCCTGTTATTATGCGAATCAGTGCTCCTTTGTTCCTCGGTTTACTAAATAACAAGTACTGAAGTCGTGGAATGGCTAGGGCAAAACTTACCACGCACAATCCGGAGGATAAGTTCTGGATCAGATCTCGCATATGACAGCGCAGATTTCAATTATGGGTTTGGTGATTTGGTACCTCTGTTGAAAGCAGAATTTACGATGAAAAAGCAACCCATTTCAAATTAACCTAAGGGATGGTGAGTGGTACACGAAAGAAGGAAGAACCATGAGAAACGGCCCAGAACCCGAGAACCCTTTCTTGCCCGTTGAATTCCGCGCTCTGTGCTATCTATCACTCACCACGTATAGACCTGCGGCGAGTGATTAGATAGTCGGTGGGCGTACCCGCCAACCGCGCCAAGAGTGAGCCATGCTAGATCGCCGAGGTCAAATCTTTCGCTGCCAATTGCGCGTCGTCCGCACCCTCAGGAGGTCCGCCTGTCTCCCAACTAGGCAATTTCCCCTTCTTCGACCTTCGTTCTTATCGTGAAATCCTCCTTTAAGGATGCTCAGCTGGGAGCAAAATTAACCCGTACGTTGGCAGTTTTCTACAATTCATTGCACGGGCCAAGTTGTATCCAAAGCGACCACGATTCTGGATGGAAGTAGAGTGTGTGACAGACAAAAAAGACTAACGCTGAATGCTTCTTTCTTTATTTCATTGAACAACATGACAGGAAGAGGCTGCGCTGTGTTGTCATTTTTTCTGAAAATAGAATTTGTTGCTGACAACACAGTCTTTCCAAAAAAGGGCAAAAAATGTAGAATCGTAAAAAAGTGAGCAAATCTTTCCTCTAAAGAGAGCGAATTTGGTCGTTGTGTTTTTTTTTTTCGAATCTTCTCTCTTCCAAGTTCCTACTGTTCCTCGGCCACTATTTGTTTTCATTGTTTCCGCCACAAGCTTGCCAAGAAAGCGATCATCTTGGTTCGGTCTTCCGTTCCGTTAGTTTCAGTTCCGTTTTGCGCTCACCAGTTCTCTTACATAGTCATTGTCACACAAAGCGAAGTAATGGACGAAAGTCTCACGGAATCCCTACTTTTGTAACGTCTTAATTCTTATCGATCGTCTTCGTGTAAGCACCTTTTCATCTAGGTCGTCGCAGAATGCCGAGCGAGGTTCACTTCTTTTAACAGCTGGAATCAAACGATACTATGGCTCAACTGCTGCTGCTGCTTATTGCTTGAAAAAGCTTTTTATCAGCTAACTTGAGGGGAATTTGGAAACGTAGCTAATATTCACATCTCACGAGTCACACTCCTAACTTACTTTATGAAGCTTTTAAATGAATTGCTTACAGCTGATTAGACACAAATTAAATTTGACTTGTTTTTGATTGTGAACTGCTGTTTTTGGCCGCGGTTCTCCTTGCGAATGTTTCACAATAAGTATACCATGAAAGCTGAGTTGGGATGAAATGGTGCCCCGGTAGCGTAACTGGTAGCGCACTTGCCCGGAAAGCGAGAGGTGCGGGTTCTAGTCCCGCCTGGGGCGAAAGTTTTGTTCACAACCCAGCATTCTTGTGAACAAAATTGAATGCCTGCTTCTTTGCCGTGGTCTGCTCAAGTGCTTGTAAATCTGCCATTTTTATGTTTGCATTGAATCTTTCTTAGACGGTTTAGGGTGCCTAATCGACATGCAGTCGATTTCGCGACGCTCTCTTCACTGCTCGGCAGCGGTGTTGCGGGGTCGTACAGTCTTCTACAATATCCACAAGAAAGTCACTGATCCGGCTAAGCAAGATCCTGAATATTTCGAGAAGGCTGCGAGGCAGCTACCATTAGGTAATTGTTCCTATTTTTTTTAGATTTTTCTCTCATTTCGCATCTTTTTCTTTACAGACGATAATTACATTGATGCATTGGGAAAATTGTATTACGAGAAGATCGGATCAGAACGTGATCTTGGACTGAAGGCTCAAGATAACCTGGTAAGTCGGAATTTTTGGTTTGTATCGGGTTGTTGCCTTAATTACCGAGCGTCTTTAGACACTTTTTAAGCACAAATATTTGCTTTTCGTCAGTTTTTCCTCATTAATTTTTCCTTTCTTCATTTGATAAGAACGCAGGTGAAAAATGTTTACAAGTAACCATTCCGGCAGGCAGCAGCAGATTTCGCCGATTTGGCGACCTCAACATAGTGCTGCCATGTTTCCCTAGTCGTCTGTGACAGCTATTATATGAAAACTTTATC